TTTTTTTGGTACCGGGGACCAAACCTGGGTCCTTACGCTTGTGCAGCAGGAGGCAAAACCACTGAGCTAAATCCCTGGCTTAGAACTCATTTTTGAAAGAGATAATAAAATGTAAAACAAGTCTCTCCGGAAATTTAATGCCAAAGTCTAAATAGATAGTAATAATGTAGAGAACTGACTTAACGTTCCTTCTAGAAACATGGTTGGATTTTTTTTTTTAATGGAGATGAAGCTGGGTAATGCATGCCTATAATCCCAGCACTCAAGAGGCTGAGGCAGAAGGTTTGCAAGTTCAAGACCAGTCTAGGCTATATAGTGAGATCCTGTCTCAAAAACAACAAACAAAACACCCAACAAAAATATGAAGATGAAGTAGATATCATAACCTGACTTTGGACAAGTTTGATAAACTTAATACATTTTAAAAGCTGAAAGTAACTTGTTTTCTCAATTATAAAATATTGTTTTGATGTCATTTTAAAAGTAATTATTGTTAAGAATAGTTAGTGCCAGGGTCTGGGGATGTGGTTCAGCGGCACTTTGCCTGCCTGGCAAGCGCAAGGTCCTAAGTTCAATTCCTGGTACCACCAAAAAAAACCCAACCAAGAATAGTTAGTGCCAGGTGTGCTGATGCACACCTGTAATCCTACTACTTAGGAGGCTGAAGCAAGAGGATCCCAAGCTCTGGGTCAGCCTGAGTAACTTAGTGAGATGCTGTCTCAAAATAAAAAGGGCAGGGGATGCAGCTCAGCAGTCTCTAGGTTCAATCCTCCGTACCATACACACACATAGGAAAGCAATATTTACTGTGAGTACCATGTGCTAAGTGCTTTGCATGTAGACATGTATTAACTCATTTAATTGTGAAATCAGATAGTTGACTATTGCAGATCTTTAAATTGCATATATTTACACTTGCCCTTGCCAGTCACCTCCATCTTGCCAAGTAAAATGATCACTTCTCAGTCTTTGTTTTACTTTACCTGTAAGCAGCATTTCACATAGGTGATATCTCTTTCTCAGTATGCTGTCTTCACTAGTTTTTCCAAGACAGCTTACTCATTTGATTTTCTTCTTTCCTCACTGATGGCTCTTTCTCAGTCTTATTTTCTGGTTTTCCTCTTCTTCCCAATCTGTTAAGGTTGGAGTTTTCCTGAGTTCCTGATTCTCTCCTTTATATACATTCTTATGCTGAGTTTGTCTAATCTCATGGCTTTAAGGACTGCAAAAAGCTCTGCCTTCAGTTTTATATATCTAGTACAGACCTCTTCCCTGGCCTGAGGCTTGTGTATTCAGCAGCCTCCTCAGGGTGGGCAACTGGATATCTAATAGATTTTTTTGTTGTTGTTTTTTGTTTTTGGTACTGGGGATTGAACTCGGGACCTTGCACTTGCAAGGCAGGCGGTGGAATCACTAAGCTAAATCCCCAGCCCTCTAATAGGTTTTTCAAACTTAAAGTGTTCAAAATCCAAATCAGATAGCATCAGTGATTTAAAAAAAAAGTTATTTTTGTTTCATTTTCTTGAGATGGAGTCCCAATGTATTGCCCACACTGAGATCAAGAGATACTCCTACCTCAGCCTGCTGAGTAGCTGGGATTACAGGCATTTGCTACCACGGCCAACTAAATATTTGAGTACTATGCACCAGTTTAGAACTAAAGTGTAGCTTGATATCAGCAACTAGTCTTTTTTTTTTTTTTGGTACTGGGGACTCAACTCAGGACCTTGTGGCTTGCCTGGTAGATGCGACGCCACTGAGCTACATCCTCGGCCCATTAACTAGTCTTTTTAACTGTAGTAGAACAGTATTACTTTATTCTTAACTCTAAGCCTACTGTATTATATGTTTCTTTCAGTTTGTGCTCCTGAAAGAAACGTTCTCCTTTTTCCTTTCTTCTAGACCTTAGATTTAAAGTACAGGTGAATTTGGTTGGCAGGAGACAGATAATTTTTAAAGTAAAAACTCAGTTCTTTTCCATCTATATTCTTCCTCATATTAAAACCAATTTTGTTTTTCAGGTTTCGTCTTTATCAGAAAGTGAAGAGTCTCAGGACTCATCTGACAGCATAGGCTCCTCACAGAAAGCTCACGGGATCCTAGCACGCCGTCCATCTTACAGGTCAGTACTCATTTGATTAAACCCTGCAAACCTCACTACCAGTGAGTTCCAGTGATGCAATGCAAAACAGACTAAAGAGGGAGCATGTCATGTGTCAGAGGGAAGTGTTAAGAGAGGCCAGCTGTAGCCAGCTTGTAAAGGGCCCAGTTCCCTAGGCTGAAGGTGATTTTAGACTTGTCTTCTGGCAACATTTTAAATTTTCGTATTAGCTTAGAATAATTAACTAAAAGTAATATGAAGCAAGACTGGAGATTAAGGATTGGACTATTTTGTGTTTCCTTTTCACCTTTAGGAAGCTGAGTCTGGGTCTTTGCTCTGTATTCTACAGTAATTCCTGTATATACTTTACAGGAGTCTTTTTGGTTACCCTTTCTCAGCAGCCCTAGACCAGATTAGGTCTCTCTTTGAAGGTGTCCTTCTACTGAACCCTCTTACCTCATCTTGATGGAATTCCATTTTAATTAAGGGCATGACCCAAGTATTATTTTTGTGACCTTGGGGCTTCGCAAAGTGCCACCCCCTAGTAGATGCTCAGTAATCCAAATGAATGGAAAACTAGAGGTAGCACACCTAATTGATAGAAAGCATTGAAGTAATTTAGATGATTTTGTATGGGTCATGGGAGTCTTTGGAGTGAGTGAATTTGAAACACTTCTGTGGTAGAATTGGCCAAATCTGGTGACTATGTGGTAAGAGAAGTAGGAGACAGAAAATGAAACAGTCTTGAGACATATATACAAATGCTGTAGGATTTTAGATTATACAAGAGAACTGTATAGGCATAGTCAATCCTGTCTGGTGGAATAAATAGGAAAGACATCATGGAGATGTGACTCAGGTTACCACAAATCTTTATTTTGTGAGACTGGGGCAGGAAGGAGTTTTGTAAGGCAGGAGAAGAGCTGCTTCAGCTGAGGGACAGGTAGACTGAATGAAATAAAATTGCCCTGTTCTGTGAATTGGAAGTTTAAGGTACCTGGAGGAACAGGTTGTGTAACACAAAAAGGTAAACAGGAGCTAGATTACTTCCGACCTTGCTAGTTTGTGAAGGATTTTGGCCTCCATTGAATAATCAGTGAACAGATGTTATTAGTCAGCTTTGCATTTCTTTGACATAATACTTGAGTTAATCAACTTTTAAAGAGGACAGTTTTATTTGGCTCATAATTTTGGAGGTTTACCAATTAGCCCTATTGCTTCTGTGCCTGTGACAAAGCAGTGCCTAATGGCTGGGATCATATGGTGGAACAAAGCTGTTCATCTCATACCCAGATGGTGAAAAAGAGAAAGGAAGGGGCTTTAGTCTTGACATCCCCCTCAGTGGCCCACACCCACTGACCTAACTTGATCCCAGCAGGCCCCACCTTACAGGTTCCACCAGTAGCACCACAGGGTTGTTGCCCAAGTGTTTGACACAAAACCTTGGGGAAACACTTACCCAAACCATAACAGACACAATTTTGTCTGTGAACTATCTTGTGTCCATAAACCCTAAAGAATGAATTTACAATTGAAAACCATAAAAAGGCTGAAAAATAATACATTATTAGCAAACAGTAGCAGGTGCAGTAAACAGTATTAAATTCCTAAAGTACTTCAGATAATGAAATTATTAAGACTATATTTAAAATGAGGAAAAGCATAAAGAAGTCAAAGCCCTTGGGGCCAGGGATTTAGCTCAGTGGTTCTGCCGCCTGCCTTGCAAGCGCAAGGACCTGAGTTCGATCCCTGGTACCAAAAAAAATACATGAGCTGAACCCAGAAAGGAAAACAATCATGAAAACCAGGGTATACTCATTACTTTATGTCTACTGCAGGAAGGGACTCTGAACCTGAGACTTCCTCATTCATTAGGGGGTCTCTGAAGGTAGCTGGAACATCTGAGAAGCTTCCTAAAGTTAAGCTTTCTGGATTGTCACAGATTAGGATCAAATAGGAATTCAGCCAGGAGTCATCAAACATACATGAAGTAAACCACTCTAAATGAGAATCCACAGAAGCAATACAATCAAGTCAATAAATGCAGAAAAAGTATTTAGTAAAATTCAACACTCACTAATAATGTTTTAGTGAATAGAGAATAAAAATGGCTTTCCCTAGCATACATAAACTTTGAGAACTGAGTTCTCTCTTTATTTAGCAAGCCCATGGCCCAAATCCTCAGCTGGCTGCCACTTGGCATTCACATGGTACAGATCTGAGCATCACTGCAAAGGCTTTGAAAATAGAACTTAAAATGGAACCACAACTCATAGAAGGCTGATCTAGGCCAGGCATGGTGGTGCATGCTTGTAATCCTTATGTGTGTGTCGGGAGTTTGAGGCAGGAAGATCACCATGAGTTCCAGGCCAGCCTGGACTATAGTGAGTTCAAGGCCAGCCTGAACTGCATAGTGAGACCCTGTCTCAAAACAACAATAACAACAAAAGGAGTCACAGCCTGAACACAACCAAATTTAAAACCTTGCTAAAACAAGAGTGCAAAAATTTTTTGTAAGATTTAAACAAGACGCAGAGTCTAATAGGAAATTGTCCAAAATACCTTGCAAGGAGAGAACCTGGAAAAGCATCCCAGTTTTCATGGGAAAGATTATCAGCAGTTGCTGATACCTAGACAACAGAGATATTGGAATATGTGGTAATGACTCCAAGGAGCTGTTATTAAAATATTCTGAGCAGTGAATCCTCCTGAAATAAGTGGAAAATTATAAAAAATACAGATTAGATAGCTCAGTGGTAGAGTGTTTGCCTGACATGTAGGAGGTCCTACGATCCCCAGCATAGCAAATAAATAAAAACAGAATTGTCAATCCAGAATTCTGTATCAAGTGAAAATATCCAGAAATGGAAGTGCCATCAGGTGGTGGTGCATGCCTGTAATCCCAGGGCTCTGGGAGGCTGAGGCAGGAGGAACCCAAGTTCAAGGCAAGCCTAGGCAATTTGGCAAGACCTTCAAAAACAAAAACAAAGGGCTGGGGATGTAGCTCAGTGCAAAGACCCTGGGTTCAGTCCCCAGTGCCAAAAAGGCAAAAAAAATGGAGGTGAAATAGTCTCCTGCAGGAAAACAAATAGAAATCTTTGCTAGTAGACTTAACTCTAAACTAACATGTATGAGTGTGTGTGTCTTTACTGGGGATTGAACCCAGGTCCTTCACATTGAGCTACATCTTCAGCCCTTTTTATTTTGAGATGGAATCTATGTTCCTAAGTTGGCCAGGCTGGGCTCAAACTTGTGATATTCCTGCGTCGACCTCCCAGAGTCCCTGGGATTACAGGTGTGAACCAGTTCTTACAATAGAAAGAAATGTGGAAGGTTACGAATGAAGAAACAGCACCAGCAATATCTAGGCAAATATAATAGACTATCCTCCTGTTGATTTCTTTAAAATGTTTGATACTTAAAAATAAAAATGATATTGTTTAATGAGGTTGTCAATATGAGAAAACTACACCATAAAGAGGGAGATAGAGATCTAACGTGGTAATGCTGGGTATATTCCATTTGAATTGGTAAAATATTGATCCTAGTCTAATTTATGTGCTGCCAAAGTGAGCAAAATATTGATCCTAAGAAGACTGAAAAACTAGGTATCTACTAGCCAGGTGTGGTGCACACTTGTAATTCCTGCTACTCAGGAGGTTGAGGCAGGAGGATCACAAGTTTGAGGCCAGCCTGGGCATCTTAGTGAGATTTGTCTCAAAATAAAGCTTCTAAAAAGGTCAAGGGAAGAAGCTCTGTGGTTGAGTCCTTGCCTAGCATGTGTGTGGCCTTGGTTCACTTCTCAGTACCTCAAAAACAAAAAACTAGCTAGCTGTGTTACTAAAAAAATCCAAAGAGATTAAGTCAGATATACAATAATTAAAATGGAATTCTGAAAAAACCTTCAGATAACCTAAAAGAATACAGGTGAAGGGAAATAGAATTTTAAAAAAGTATTGTAAGTAGGAAGCAAATAATAAAACAGTAGGTCAACTAGCATCTGTAATTATATTTAAGACATAGCTGAAACTCCCCAATTAAAAGGCACATTATAATACTAGATACTAGCATCCCTCATAACACAGACATAAAAATTCTCCAAACAGTATTAGCAAACCAAATCTAACAGCATATAAAAAGCATTGTACACCATGGCTGAGTAGCATTTATTGCTGAAATGGAAGATGATTTAATAAGAAAATTAAGCCATGTAATACACGTTAATAAAATAAAAACAAAGGCCTCGGGCTTGAAGTTGAGATCCTCTTGCCTCTGCCTCCTGAATGCTCAGGAGCCACTATATCCAGCTCTTTGTATAGTATTTTAAAAGTGGAGACACTGTTCTTATCTATATCCTCCCCTAGAGGCTACTTCAAACTGGTAAATTGTCAAATATGGAAGAGTTGTGGATGAGAATCTACATCACAGAATTTTCCATCTCTAAATTACATGCCTATAATAGTTACTTGGCTTTGATAATGGCTTGTTCAACTTTTTAAAATAAAATAATGACACCCATTTAAAGAAAAATAAAAGCCTACTCTCAAGAGACACAGTAAAAGCATTTAACAAAATCCCTTCATGATGAAATTACTCAATAAATAGAAGGCAGTTTCCTTATCTTAATAAAAGGAATCTACAAAAGCCCATATCTGACAGCATACTTGCTGATGAATATTTTCCCCCAAGATCAGGAATAAGATAAAGGTTTGGATATTTGATGTCATTGCTTTTTTTTTTTTTTTTTTTGAGACAAGGTCTGACTGTGTAGTGCAGGCTGACCTTGAACTCAGGATCCTCCTGGCTCAGCCGCCCAAGTGCTGGGATTACAGGCATGTGCCACCACACCCAGCTGTGTCATCACTTCTGTTTGACATTGTACTCAAATAATTAGTCCAGAAGTTAAATAAAAGACAACCACATTGGAAAAAGAAGAAAAAAATATGCAGATGCTATGATCTCATACTGTTTGGTCTGTGTTGTGCAGCTGTAATAGAATACCTTAGTCTAGGTGTTTATAG